ACTACACTCGCAGGAGTTCGAGGAGGGCCCCGACCAAGCCCGCGGGATCCTCCTCGTTCTTTAACTTGCGATTCACCCCCCATTGATCGTGCTACTCATGTCGCTCCTCCGCCCCCCTCCTCATCCTCCTTCACCCTCCGCCACCCCCCTCCCGCGTCGGCAATCGCCCCCTCCTGGACGGCGCCCTCCGAACTCTCGCCGAGCCCAGCCTGATCGCTGGCCAGTCGAGCAGCCGATTGAGATGGCGAAACGATTGAAACCAAACCAGGAACCGTTAAACTTCGCACCACACGGTGGATACCATAAACCAGGGAACTCACGTCGATAGCCTGAAAGTTGACACCATCCAACCCATCTCAACCAGCTGATCGCACCGAAACTCACTTCCTACGCCCTGCTAGTCCGAGCTGTACTCCTCAGAGTCGCTCCCTTGCTCCACGACGGCCGCTGGTTGGCCATGCAGGGGGATGCGCTTGAGCTCGGCGATGGTGACAGCCTTGGTGAGGAGATGGGCTGGCTTCGCGTGGATCGTGACGTCTTTGTTCTTGAGCTAGGTCGAGCATAATATATTAGATAGGGACGTCGTATAGGAGGCTTGTAAAACGGACAATAGAGTAGAGCATATAGGAGCAGAGGAGACCGACGCTGAAATAACTAAAGTAAACTAAGGGGCCCCAGGGCCAGAAATTGCATGTGTCTTCCCGTTGCTAGACGTGACATTCCCCGGTGGGAATTGAGCACGGAGCAAGGGATAATAAGAGAGAGGGGAATATCAGCACACGGAACATAACATAACTCGCCCGAACAGGGTAACATTGGACTCGCAAGGGTAGAGCACAGCGGAGCAATGAGCATACAGGGGTACAGTAGACTAGAATAGAACATATAAATTGCAATCCTTGATCATCTTCGTCTGGGACGCCTCCACGCGCTTGGCCGAGATCTTCGCGATCCCTGGGATGATCACGATGCCCTTCTGCTTCAGCTCGCGCCTGCACACTGCCTCGAGCGCGCAGAGAACCCTCGCGACGTCGTAGTGCGAAACCTTCTGACTGGGGGGCGCCGACGCTGACGACTTGAACAATGACCAAATTGTTGACGCTTCGCGGCTCCCCACCAGCCCATCCAGAAACGATGCCCAGAGGAATTGCCTCGATCAGGGAAGTGGGCAGCACACAGAAGAAGCCATTATGAGGCATCTTTGGATATCTTGAGCCATCTTGGAGGTCATCGTGGCCCCCCCCCAGGCGCTCTTGGGGTCATCTTAACCAGCGCCCCCCCAAGAGGCCAACATGTGGCCAAAACCTTAGTACAATCAATGATTGGACATTCTCGCCGAGGCCTCTTGGAGCATCTTGGGTGCATCTGGGTGGTCTTTTGGGGCCTCTTGGCGGTCTCTTGGGAGCCTCTTGAGGGCATCCTGAGGGCCGCTTGGGGCGTCCTGGCCACCTCTTGGGGCCCTCTTGGGGCACCTTTGGGGGCCTTAGGTGTCATCTGTGGGCCATCTTGGGTGTGATCGATCGCAGGAGGGGGGTACTAATTACAGCCCCCCCCCCTCAGGATGCCAAAATGGTGCCAAAACCACAGTAAACCAAATGATTTTGGCGTCCTCGCCGAGGCCGTTTTGGACGCTCCGACGGCTCGCGGGCCCCCCCGTCCAGGTCCAGGGGAGGGGGCAGGGGGAGGGGTAAACCCCTCCCCGAAGGGGAACAAGGATGGGTGGACGAGGACACTCTCTAAACCACCGACGCCCAGAGGGCTGGTGGGACAAGATTTGCAAGTCGTCGTCGACCCCCCCCCCCCTCACCCCGCCTCGCCAGTGGGCGCCTCGGGGCCGCGGCGAGGGCGACGTCGAGGAGGGGGGAAGGGCGGCGAGGGGGGGTGGGACAGTGAAGATTTTAAAAAGGTAGTTTTACTCCTTCAAACGAAGTAGATATAATTAGGTTATTTCAGATTGGGTTGTAGATCATATGGGTCGAGTCCTCCCTGACGACCCCCCCCCCCCCTCCCTCGCCCCCGCTCCTCCCCCACCCCGCCTCCCCTCGCCTCTCCCCCCCGCGGACGACCGACGATAACGAAGACAGGGATGGGAACCTTCGCCCCAGCTGCGCCGACACGGCCCCACATGTTCTCGGTCTCCTCGCTGACCGCCAGGTGCAGGGAGCCCTTGTCTAGGGCCCTCTTGCGCGGGGCGAGCTTGGCAGGAGCAGGACCACCAGCGGCGCCAGCTGCGTCTCCGTGAGGCTGCTGCGGAAGAGGGCCTTGATCGGCCATCGCGCGCCAGGAGACCTTGGACGCTCCTTGCCTGGGCGAGGAACGGGGGCTCTCTCCAGAGCAAGAAGCTTGATCCTGGAAGCCCACTGGGGTTGGCGGGCAGGGAGGTGGGGAGCGAGAACAGAGCAATGTTGCCAGAACCCCTGAACTCCACGACTCCGAAACTCTCCAGCCTCGCCGCAAACGGGAATGCCAGAACCGCCGAGGAGAACAGCTCCCTCCACCTGGCCCAACGGCGGCCATCCTGACATCAGTGCGACGAGAGCCTGCTGCAATGAGGCCGACCCCAGCCAGGGCAGTAGAGCAACCCACAACGTGCACGAACTACCAGATCGCAATCAGGACAAGGGTGGGCGGGGGGGGGGGACTTAGGGCACGCAGCCACGACAGCATATGTACACGCAAGTGGTATACGCCGATGCATGTATACATGGCTTAAGTGCTGCCTGGACCTACTTTTGACTTACTTTGGACCTACTGTTGACCTACTTTAGACCTACTTGCGAACTGCCGTAACCTACTTTTGACCTACTTGTGACCTACTTTTGACCTACGTGTGACCTACTTGTGACCTACTTTTGCACATGACGGAGTGTGGTCAAGCGACGTGCCGCCATTGGCGCAACGGAAGACAACGTTTAATGAGCATGGGTTTGCTAACCTAGTTGCCAGGTCTGATGGGGCTGGCAGAAGCTCGCTGGACCTATATCGAAACCAAGGCTTGGTCACTGACCTATCTGCAGAATGGGAGGCCGACCCCCCCGACCTACTTTTTAGCTATATGTATCGAGCACGGAGATAGGAAAAGAAGGTCGAGTGCCCCAGCGCGGGTGCCAAAGTAGGTTCCGAAGTAGGTCGGGGACCACGTCGGGGGTCCAAACTAACTCTTTTGACCTATCGTCGTCGCCACGACCTCATCCACCCTTGCCTTTATCTGCCCACGGCCTCCTCCTCCCCTCTGGCACCCCTCCCGCTCTCCATCCCCCATCGCCTCCCAAATCGCATCCACCCGTCCTCGTCGCCTCTGCTCCCTCTCCCATTTGCGATCTGCAAGCTAGTGATGCTTCACAGTAACTTCTAATGTGTAGTGGTAACAATAGCACAACACAGTGGGGGAATACTGTACATGTTTGCGGGGGCACGG